AAGACAAATCTATTAGTTCTTAAGTAGGGTAAAATAAAATCCCAGGTCCAATGCCTGTCTCCCCCTGATGAAGTTTGGATGTATTGTCCTCCCAGAACTCATATGGAAATTTGATCCCTGGCATTGTTGGAAAGTAATTGAGTCATGGGGGCGGATCCCTCATGAATGGATTTATGTCCTCCTGGGGGAGGGGGGATTAATGAGTGAGTTCTCCTTCTATTAGTTCTCGAGAGCTCTCGTTGTTTAAAAGACCCGGGCATATCCCCTCTCTCTCTCTTGCTTGCTCTCGCCATGTGATCTGCTTGTACCTGCTGGCTGCCTGCCACTTTCTGCCATGAATAGAAGCAGCCTGTGGCCCGCGCCAGATGCAGCTGTCCCAGAATCATAAGCCAAATAAACCTCTGTTCTTTATAAATTACCCAGTCTCAGGTATTTCTGTTATAGCAACACAAAATGGAGTAATACACCCCCAAACACCACCACCTTTTCGTTCAGTTCAAAATCTTCTCTTGAAGTCATGATGTCTGCACTGAGGGTGGTGGGGTGTTTGTATGTGAGTATTGGCAGAGGTATGGTGTTAGAATAGGAAACATCCTTCCATCCCCAGATCCTTCAAAAGACAGTAGAAAAAAGAATCTATACTACTCAGCTCCTGAATAAGAGACAGAGTAAGGGGGAGTCCAAGGTGACCTGAACTACTCTCTCCAGGAAACCTGTAACCCTTCACAAAAGTGACAACAAAATGGCCTGGGACAGCATGTGATGGACCTCTCAGCAGTGGTGTTTCCTGTTTGAAAAGACATGTTCATTGCATATACAGAATGGTAACCTCTAGTATCACCAGCCCCTAGGAGAGAGCTAATCTGAAGTAGCTATATTCTCTGGAAGGCATGAAATGGGGCCACCCTTGACAAACACCAGGCAGTTTATTTATTTATTTATTTATTTTGTCTTTTTCCGTGTCCAGCAACGGATCGCAACCCTCAGTGTTGCCCCCATACTGGACCGGGGACCGGCAACGGGATTGCAACCCTCGGTGCTGCTCCCACGCCTCGCTCAGCCAGTGAGCGGGAACCGGTCTGTATGTGGGATCCGAACCCTCGGGCGGGAGCGCCGCCGCGCTTCCCAAGCGGCGCACTTAGCCAGTGCGCCACCGGGCCGGCGCCTTAGTGTGATTCGTATAACTTCGTATAATGTATGCTATACGAAGTTATGCCCTTGACAAACACCAGGCAGTTTATTTATTTATTTATTTATTTTGTCTTTTTCCGTGTCCAGCAACGGATCGCAACCCTCAGTGTTGCCCCCATACCGGACCGGGGACCGGCAACGGGATTGCAACCCTCGGTGCTGCTCCCGCGCCTCGCTCAGCCAGTGAGCGGGAACCGGTCTGTATGTGGGATCCGAACCCTCGGGCGGGAGCGCCGCCGCGCTTCCCAAGCGGCGCACTTATCCAGTGCGCCACCGGGCTGGCCCAAACACCAGGCAGTTTAAAATAAATTACTGGTCCAAGCTCCCACCCAGATGCAAACAGGAAGCCCAGTGCTTGATTGACCTGTTTGGATTTTGGCAAGCCATATTCCACACATGGGGATCTCATTGAGCCTTATCCACCAAGCAACCAGGAAGAAAATGACTGTGCTTGTCTCCAGGATGATCATGCAGTTACCTCGGAATGAAAAATTCAGCAACCATGGGGTGTTTTAATCTATGTAAAAGTATGAATATTTGCACTCAATTTCTCTGTGGCTTGTAATTTGCTAAATTTAAATTTTCTGAGCTTGTTGTATATGAGATTAAAAACCTCATGGGATGGCGCCAAAGACATCTGGAAATTACTTGCAAAAAGTACACGAGAATTTCTAAATTTAATGTGATATAAAACTATAACTGAAACAGAAAAACACACCATGTCTTGTGTGAATTAGTTCTTGTGGAACCCAGACAATATTATGAACTATAGAAATTGTTCCATATCAACTTTTTGAGTAGTGCTTTAAATCTCTGGTAATTCTTGATATTATTTGGATTGTATTTTTGGACATTTTTAATTAACTTTGGAAAGTTAGACTAATAAAATATTAAGGTAAAACGGGATTCTTCTTGAATTATATCTTGTAGTTATATACCTGCTGGGAGTTCCCCTGCAAGGAAGCTAGAATTTTGTTTTTCTTTTCACGCAGATGGGGTGCCAGTGAAATTGACAAGGGTGTAGTCTGGACTTACATACTCGGGAACCAATTCCAGATGTTTGGCCAGAGAGTAATAAAGAGAAACACATGTTTTAATAGAACAATATATAGCATAGCGCATTAAATTCTGTTACAGGGAGAAAATTAGCAAGTTTTTCCTATAAGAGTAAGATAAAAAGAAACCTAATTAAATCAGAAATATTAACATGACGTTGGAAAATTTTCTTTTATTCTGTCATGAGAGAAGATCTACCCAAGTGCTTGTGTGAAATAATATAATGTATATCTCTAGCATCCTGTCTTGATATCTAATATTATTTTCCCATTTCTGAGATGATTTTTATTCCTAATTCTCATTAAGGCCCAGAAGGCCATATCCCAAAGTAAAGGACGTAGAAGCAGCCTCAAAAGCAAAGTTTTCCTCTGACCTTCTCCTGTCCTCCTGTCTCTCAGCCTCATTCACCCTTGAGGCAAGCCACAGAAACTAGAATCCCTCCTCCGTAAGGCAGGTCACAGATATACTCTAACCTTCTTCCCCGACCTTTCTGTCTTGGAGGTACCATAAGGAAATTCTCTGACCTACCGTGTCTGATTGCAGACTATAAGATCCCCATTTCAGAAAGGGTCCTGCCTAATACTCCAGAAGAATGAATGCTACACAGAGAGACCAAGAAGAATCTGAACAGACAGGCCTTGCTGGGTTTCTCCCTTCAGTCTATTAGCATTAGATTATCCTTTCTTGTCCAGTCACATTTCTATGCGGCCATGCTGTCTCATAGAACCTAAGCATAAAAATGGACAGTTTTCCCTATATCTTTGGGTCTTCATTCTAAAGGCTCCTGTGTCACATAAAACTGTGATATAACAAAATTTGTTATGCCTTTTCTTCATATTAATCTCTATTATTAGGTGATTTTTCAGAGAATCTTTAGGTGGTTGAAGGGAATGTCTTCCCTTGACCCCTGCAGATACATATACATCTGCCTTGTCCTCTGACTGGGGTGTGCCCCCAGGCTTTTTATTCTTGGTTATCAGACAATGGTCAAGACTTTGTGATGTTAAATTCATGAACAAATCTACCTTCCTTGAGGATTAAATAAATTTATATATTCTTTTTTTTTTTTTTTTCCTATTTGTCTTTTTTCGTGACCGGCAACGGATCGCAACCCTCAGTGTTGCCCCCGCACCGGACGGGGGACCGGCAATGGGATCACAACCCTTGGTGCTGCCCCCGCG